AAACCTGGTGACAATATTGTATCCAAACTTGTGACTAACATATGACTACAATTTGTCACCAGATTCAGTAAACATGCATAAAAATGTTCCTAGTTGGTAACAAAATCAAAATGCCCTCTGACGTTTCAGTGTGTGTTTTTCTCCGGGCAACCGGATTCACGAGGCCGCTCGCCCCGACCGCGACCTGGGTGCAGTCCCGCTTTCCGGCCCGTTAGACTAATTGGAAAGAAACGCACGATCGGGCTGCGGCACGCACTTCCAGGCCTCCAGGCTTCCGGACCTCCGGGTCCCAGTTTGACTGAAACGACTGGGGCGGAAGATTGCACCACCACAGCGGGAATCGCGACCCCGGGGCAAACCAGGGCCAGCCCAGCCAGGGCCCAGCCCACCGCTGTGCGACCTGCCGCTCGCTAACTGCCTGTCCCTCCAGCCATAACACCCCCACCCCACTCCCAACCCCCTCCGATACCCCCCGCCGAATCCACCGGAAATGGGGGGCCGAAAGGGCTGATACTTCTACGCAGCTGCGCAGGGCTGCAGGCTGATTCCGAAGACGGTCGTCGCTCTGTCGCACTCGCGGCGCGTTCCGCACGGGTGCGAGAGAGGCAGAACGATGCTCGGAATCGCCCTGCTGCTGGCGAAGCTGCGCGGGGCGTCCCGGGCGGCCGCCCCAAACGGGGCCACGGCGGGCCGCGGAGCCAGAAGCCTTGTAGTTCGGCTGGCTGGGGTAGTTCGACGAGGCGAGGGGCCCAAAGGCGGCCAAAGGCGTGAAGAAAGAACAAGGAGAGCAAAGTCTCATCCCCGCCGCGCCGCGCCGCGCCCCGCCCCGCCCCGCCCCGCCCTGACCTCTCGCCGGCACGAGCAGCGCAACTTCCACGCGCGCCGTGTTCGGAAAACAACGAACCCCCTTTCGCCTTTCGGGAGGACGGGCGTGAGCGTGACCAGCACACGGTACACTTGCTGACACTGGCTGATAAATTGGGTCACGCCGCCGCGCCGCCGCGCCCGGATCCCATTTCTATCGTCGAGGAAAACAGTAAATACGCCGCCGAGGTGAGTGGCCCCACCCTCCGCGCATCGGCCCGCTCTCAGCAGACTGATTCCGAGAGTCGCTTACGTCGCTCTGTCACCCTCACACCTGTACGGGACGTCCGCCCAGAGTGCGAGAGAGACAGGGCGACGAAGACGACTCCCTGAATCAGTCTACGGCTGGGCTCGGGTTCGGTCCCACCCGGAGCTTTCCCTGCGCAGTCAGAATGAGATCTCGTTACACCCCCACCACGGCGTCGGCATTCATCTTGAGCAGCAGAGCACACGGCGCCGCCGCTCCGATTTGCATGTCGAGGTACAGTTTCCTGATTGGGCCCGAGGGACGCACAACACCGGCGCACAAAACTCGCTGCTCACTGCCCGAGAGGGAGAGGGGAGAGGGAGAGAAGGGAGAGGGGAGAGAGAGAGAGAGAGAGAGAGAGAGAGAGAGAGAGAGAGAGAGAGGCTCAGAGTGCGCCAATTGCAACCGCCGCTTGTTATTTCCGCTGCGAACGACGCCTGAATTGCGGTGCCCGCTCGTCCGCCGGCCGGCCGCCGTGTCGCTCTGTCTCTCTCGCACTGCAACGGGTCGCCTCACGAGTGTGACAGCGACAGAGCGACGAGTAGGGCTCTTCGGAATCGGCCCAGTGCCGGAGCATTCGGCCGCAATTAGTTTGAGCAATGAGGCTCGCTTTCCAATCGGGCCGGGCCAGGTGGGCAGTTAGGTGGGCAGAAGGGAAAGCAGGTGGCAAGCGAGGTGGGTAGGTAGGAAGCCGGGTGGGCAGGTAGGATGGAGGCCAGGTGGGCGGGTAGGAAGCCCGGTGGGTTGGAAGGAGCCAGGTAGGCAGGTAGGATGGATGCCGGTGGGCAGGTAGGAAGACAGGTAGGCAGGTAGGGTGGAAGCCCGGTGGGCAGGTAGGAAGCCAGATGGACAGGTGGCAGGCTAGGTGGGCAGGATGGAAGCCAGATGAGAAGGTAGGTGGGCAGGGTAGTCACGTGGTCGTCCAGTGCGCTCTGCTCGTTACGCGGATGAGCGCCTGAGCCACGTCATGCAACGCATAGCGGAACGCCGAACCGCAACGAGGTGCTTGCATGCGCGGCTGTGTTGGTGTCCGAGTGCACGTGCGAGCCGGGCCGCCGCCATCGAGTGTTCCTGGAAGGGATGCCTGCACTCAGTCAGGCAGAATGCAGGGCGGTGGTGCAATCAGGACGACGGTGGCGCCGAGGCACGCCGATGACGGCCGAGCTGCAGGCTGATTCCGAGAGTCCTTTTCGTCGCTGCCTCACACGCACCCTTTGAGTGCGAGAGATACAGAGCGACGAAAACGAATCAGGAATCAGTCTGAATCGAGTTAGCGAGAGCAGAGCGCAGAGCAATAGGGGCCGCGCCGCTACTTAGCCGCGGCGCCGTCGTGTAGTCCGTCCGAATTTCATTACCCAAGAAAATGCTCAGCCGAAGGCGGCGGCGCGGGACCCGAATCTGGCAAAGTGGCGACGGGGCGGCCGGCCGGGGCGGGGTGGGTGCAGATTGGGGGCGGAGGGGGAGGGGGGGGGAGGGGGACGGAAGGAGCATTGAGATTAGGCCGAGGGTAATCTTCGGCCCCCTCCACGATGTCGCACTGCTCCGAGTCAGCGCCGGGAACACCGCGCGGCCGAGTCCCGATGTCGCCCAGTCGGATTTCAGCATCGCTGCCGCCGCCCGATTCCGACGGACCGTTTCGTCGCGCTGCGTCTCTCTCGCACGTGGACGGCGCGCGCCATGAGCGCGACGGAGACGGAGCGACGGGACTGCTCTTCGGAATCGGGGCGGCTGACGCGGCGCGCCGTAAAGCCAGGCCACTTTCAGAGCAGATCCGAGGCGCGGCGGCCGGGGCAGTGAATACGGCGGGGAGGGTAGGCCGTCCGCTGCTGGCCGGCCCGGCCGCGCTCATGGCGGCGCTAGCCTCCGCGCGGGGGCGCGCTGTGGGGCGGCAGGCTGTCAAGGCGTCGCGCGGAGGCGAGTGAGGGATGAAGCGACATCCTGGCGGCGCACTCGGCGCGGCAGAAATAGGCCGCCGCAAACTTGTCCTCCTTCCTCTGCACTATCGGCCTGGTGCCGCTGCTGAGGTCGGCGTGGCGGGGCGTGGCGGGGCGGGGCGTTGCGGTGGCGACCTGGACCGACACCATGCACAAGTTTAATTGATGGTCGGCCAGGCCATTAATCACGCCATCCCCGCGGTGAGCTGGCCGGGCGGCCAGGCCCTCGACGTCATAATCAAGCCGGCGCGGCCATCCAGACCATCCAGGCCCTCATTGAGCACCCGGCACTCCGCCACTGCCAGCGGCCGCGCGGCCAGCCCGGCAGGTATGCCAGGTATGGCGCAAGCATTTTCTTCGTGCATCACGAGTGCGGCAAACAGCCTCGAAATAACGAGCAAATCAAAGGATTGAAGCCTTATGTAACGCACCGGAAAAGCATTCCGACAATGAGGCCCCTGTGGGGTTCGGCAGTTTAACTTTTTCTTTGAGTACAAAATGGATAAGTTATAGGTGTGTTATCGATAGCCGAGAAGGACATTAAGCCATGGGTACGCTACGGCAAAGCCTTGGGTAAGTTGTGGGTTGCTAATGGATACGTTACGCTTAGCTAATATGGGAAGGTAAAGCACACATATCGTGGGTAGGTCGAGGGTACTCCGGGTACTCCTGGTACGCCATTGGTACAGCACAGCCATGAGGTACCCCATTGGTCCGGTGCGCTTCTCAAGAGAACGCAGTGCGTCGTATAACTTTGCCCCGCCGTGTGGCGTTTCTCTGAGTGGAATTTATATGCCGGACCACTTCCTGGGGGCCCAGGCCGGGACACATGGTCCGACCCTGCATGAAATTATGTCATCGCTCAGTCACTTTCTTTTCCGCCCTGCCTCTTTGTCGCTCATCATGCTCTTTTTTTGTCGTCTTTAATTCGTCCCCGCTGTAATCCCCCTGGAATGACGAACGACGCACTGTTTTTCCGGAGGCCGCCTTATCCCGACATGCCAAGAACACGACGAGCTGCACGGCAAGAAAAGAATGTGGACCTGAATGCAGCTCCTTTGTCCCCCTTTGGATGATTGTGCGAGTCGGAATGTGCGCGCGAGACGCGTCAGAACTCCGGGCAAATGGAATGTGTTCCCTGTGTTGCTCCAGGATGTATGAGCGCGCGGGGGGTTTATTGTGGCAAAGTCACACCGCGGTACCGTAGTCCCTTCTGAAAGACAAGAAAAACCATCCAATCTAAATTGAAAATGAAAAACATTGTCACTACTGATGACATGCAGATACGTACGTTCGATGACTTCGGGCACACAATAAACATCTTCACATAATACTCAAACATATGACAACATCGAAAGCAATATTAATGTTACATCAATGCACTAGAAGAATATATACTGTTACGCAGCAAGATTAAAATATGGCAGCATATAGGAGATGAAGAAGAAGAATCAAACGAAGAACTGAAAACAAGAAGACAAAAGGTGAGGTGTGAAGAGAAGAGGAAAAAGAGAAGATAGGAATGATAAGAAAAGAAGGAAAAAGGTAAGTAAGAGTAAGACAGGCGCACAAGATATTCTAGGTTATACTGGTTAGTATAGTAGAAGAGTTGCGTTTAAAATCAACAGTTACTGATAAGTATGACGGTGCCTAGAGCTGCCTTTAATTTACTTGCCAACAAGATATACGGGAAATCACACTAGTTAATGTCAATATAATCAACGAAATTATTTCTAGAACAGCTGTATACTTCCTACTTTGCTAGGACCCCTAAAATATTGATATGATTTACTTCTGGGACGATGGTTTCGGTTGACATTGCCGTCTGGAATCATGCACAAATAATCGAGACTCCTGGAAACCCCTACAAAGGCTACAGAGAAGTAGAAAAAGAGTGAGAGACAGGTGAGCTACAAATCACGACATTCATCACACAGTAAAAAGCATGGGCTTACCTGCCCATGGGGAGCCCCAGGAAGGCACAGGGCAGAACTGTTTCCCTGCAATCAAAAGTGGCGCGTCAGCACAGCTACTGCAGCCGCTGCGGAATCTGGCCTACTTCAAAAGGCGGCCAAAACGAGTCAATTCCGATTCGACGCCGGCGTCGAACCTAATGCTACTTTATTTCATGTTTTTCCTGTGCCGTGGCACCCCAGGTTTGCTCAATACTCGTTAGAGACTTCTTATTTTCTACGGCCCGCTCAAGGAACTCCTCACTTTGAGCCCGGTGGTGAAAAATGCAAAGATGACGTGAAATTCCTCCCCTTGAGCTGGAGAGGTGGAACGTGGAAGGATGATGGAAATGAAATAACGTCAGAACAATGAAATTTTGGCCACCTTTCCTCTGTACACGTGCCGTCTAAGTGGGGCGAACCGACGAGGTCCGAGCTACGGGGGTCTACGGCCCTCCTACGGACCGCCCCACGCTACTGGGCGTCTACGGTGAGCGCTGCGATTATATACAGTGGTGTTCGCTCCGCGAACAACAACCTCTCAAACGTCCGTCACAAAGTACAAGGGCGAAATGCAAGGTTCACAACGTTACATTATGGTTACTGTTTAGTTAAGCACGGAAAGTGTGCAGATGCTGGTAAAAGTTATTTACTGCGTTCATTTTTAACATTTTACAACTAGTACTGCTCAATATATCCCTAATAGATGATCCATGTCACAAACATGTAAGAGGTTCAAATTTCCAAACAAATATTCTACCGCTGCAGAACACTCTAAAAATATGTAAATAGAGCAACAGCTACAAAGTGACAAATTCTAAACCTAAACATAAAAAGGAAACGTACAGTAATAAATATTTTAATCATTTCTTCTCGTAATTTCCTTTTTCTACTGGATGCAATGCCTCACACGGTGCGACCAATATAAATAAGTAATTATGGACAACGTAATAAATTTACACGCATGCTGTCGTGCTGTTGTTGACATAATCAATTTGTGTGTCGTTTGATCCTAGGACGTTTCTAGGATTAGGGGGTGGGGGAGATCGGAGAACTGCGCAGCGGTATTGTGAAGTTTTACTCATCGGCCTTGTGCAGTTCCCTCCCGAGCACGTGGTGAACGCCAGCGTCACTTACCTGCAACAGAGAGAGAAGGGCAAAAGTCAGCTCGGCAATCATGAAACACACGCCTTGAGGAAAACGTGATTGAAATTTCATTGCGGAAATCGATCATGGGGCGTCCTTCGTCCCACCCTTGAATTATGTATAAGACCCCCCCGTGCGGCCGCAGCAGCATTCTAACCACGCGGGACGGGAAATGCGCAGCCAACGAAAACACACAGACGACGCGGCCTGTGTCGGGCCCACGCCGATTCTGAGATTCCGGGCGGCAAAGCCCGCTTGTCGCGGCGTGGCGTCGCGTGGCGTCGCGTCCTGGGGGGTGACAGTGCACACGGATGGGCCGGGCCAGCTGGACGCGAGCGATGGAGGACGGAGATAAGCAATCAGTTGGGCACCAGGCCCGGGCAGCCCGGGCAGGCGGCAGGCTGCGCGAGACAATGCATGTATTGTCCACACCACGGTCGCCACAAAGCGACGCCGAGCGAGAAGAAGCCGCCTTGGCACTGTCCTTTATCCGGCGCCAAAACTCCACTCGGCCTGATGCACCTCGAATACGGACCATACTATAATGGGGTGGCCCCGGGGCTCCGGAATAGGGTCTTCAAGTGTCGCAGCTCCGGCAGTCTGATTGGCAACGAGAGGGAAAAGATGGGCGTCGGCACGGCGGCGGTGAGAAAAGAAAATGTTTTTCTTGCGGGGGTCGACTAATGTAGTTACAGTACTGATGGAAGGGGGCCAGTCAGAGGCAAAAGGGCTGTCCATCTCAACGAAGACGTCGCCGAGGAGGCCCAGCCTCGCCGGAAATGGTCCCCTCAGCCTCAGCGCGGGGCTGAGGCGTGAGCCCTTCCCACCTGGCGACATCCGTGACGTCACTCGCGCGTGTTTTTCTTTTTCTTTCCCTTCCGGCTCCCCGAAGAAAATCTGCACCGACGGGGGAAATACATATAACGGGGTGGCGGCCAGTCTCGGGGGGGCCAGCCTCCAGAGCCCAGCCTCCAGAGCCCAGCCTCCAGAGCCCTGCCTCCAGAGCCCAGCCTCCAGGGGCCGGCCAGGCCGAGGGCGGCCGTGGGCCGAGCAGACAGGCCGCAGGGAATTGGATTACCCAGGTTGCCTTTCAACCCCGGCCGCGTCCAAGGAGCTCCTTATCCCGTCTTTTACCACGGTCTGAATACAGGCCGGCGCCAGGCCGACGCCAGGCCACGCCACGCACACGACATCGCTGCCAGGGATCTGGCCAGGCACGCTGTAAATACACGGCCCACTCCAAATTAGAGGAGAGTACCCCCACCACCTCCCACGCCCGTCCAATCACAGCCAAGGCCGCTTTCATTCGCCAGTTTCTGTTTCCCTCTCTTCCCTCGGGATCATCCAGCGTGTTGCTCTCCCCACGGGGGATGATGTGGCCAGAATTCTGCATCGTCGAAAAACAATCCGCTTTCCGGCGAAAGTGTGCCCGGCCTGTTTCTTTCGGCGGGCGCGGCTGTATTTTTCACGGGGCAGGCATGACACCACTCTCCAGCAGCAACCTGATCCACGACAACGGCGCCCGTCAACTGAACAGCGCGTCTCGTCCCCAGGCGGGAACATGGATTTTGGGCGGCGGGAGCCTCGGCTGAAGCGAAGACCTGGAGGGCTCCCCGGGGACCGGGGGGAAGCGACAGCCAGGCAGCCGCCTCACTCGGCAATGGTACGCTCAAAATTAATTTCAGCGCTCAGAAAACGGCTTCTTAACAAATTTTTCAGGGGAAACTTTTCCTCCTCTACAGTGTGGGGGTAGTCACCGGATCTCGGGGCAGCCAGCTGCGGCACTTCCCGCGAGCGCACCCACTGGCCAGGCCGGGCTGGGCCGGGCCGCGCGGGGAATATATACGATTCCAGTCGCGCAGTGTAAATCCATTCTTCCCGCCGTCTCTTTCTTCCGGGCCAACTTTTCCCCACCGCGCCGCACCGCGCCCTTCCGAGGCGTGGCGGCGCCCTCCTTTTTTCATTTATCACCTGGACCGTTTCGCTACGATTTCTCCCGCCAGAAAAAGAAGATAGACCGTGCCGTGAGTGTGTATATGTTTCAGCACTGCGCACCCATACCTGCTGAGGAGCCTATACTCTCCTCACTTTCGCACTAAATTGCCCCTCGTCTATTGAAGGCAGCCGAGCGGTCACGCACACATACGCACGCACTGACACACTCGCAGACACTGCCGTCAAGCCCTGCTTTCACAATCACGGTCTGGCTGAGGCCGCGTCCCGCGGTGTGACAGAGACATATCGCGCGCCCTGGGGCCCGGCCGAGGCCGAGGCCCGGAACGCGGAGGGCAGATTGGGGCAATGCCATCGTAAAATGTATATATTATTCCGCTCAAACTGCCGCCACGCTTTGGGCCGTTTCCATCGCCTTCAATCGGGTTAACCAAATAGAGTAAATGAAATGGAGGAGCGTCGCGCCTCGACGCCGCTTCGGGAGAGGTCCGACAACGCCGCGCACGCAGTGTGGGAGGCTGGCAAGAGCCCCGTTCTGACAAGGACAAGACGGATGCCTCACGGCCGGTACCATCTGTCTCGGCAACTTTTCCCGTATTTTCGGCACCCTGTGGGAGTAACGGGCTCCAGGCCCGGCATCTTAGTTTGCTGACCAATCGACTTCTCTTTCCATTTTGATCTGTTTGCGAGTCCTGGGATGCTTTTATCCCCCTGAAAGAGTAGAGAGAAAGCGGAGTTGGGAGAAAAAAAAAGAGTGTTCTGATTTTCACGGCCGTGTCAGGCTAGCCAGCTGCATGGAAATAGCAGGCGGTGGAGGGGGTTCATTATGTCACGCCCCGAAGCTGGGTCGGTTTGGGGGAGGGGCAGGAGGGGGTCCACTTTGCCATTCCTCCAGCGTTACCAAGTACTCTGTCCTTAAACAAGAGGGAAATAACCCATCATCCCGATTATTCTTTCTCCCACGAAAAACAAAAGCAGCCCACTCTGCAGATGAAGTGGTACGCCAGTACGCCACGATCTTTGGGGAACTGATTGGTATTCCGCGCGGGCCATGGTGTCCGTTCCAAGTTCTTGCCGCCCCCTTCTTGCGCGCGAGCGCGATCGCCGGCCGGACGCACCGCCGGCAAGAACTCATCACAGTGTCCGCATTAATCGGGGGTCCTTCTTGGGCGTTTCCCCCCTCATCGGACCGCCCAGATGCCGGCAAAGTGGACGAGACCGAACGCGACCGAACAGAAGTATTGGAATTGTTTGTGCCACGCGAGAAAGAATCATTATTGTTTGTGCTGCGCAAAGAAAACGTAACTGCTTTCGCAACCATGGAAGTTGTGACGCCTTTAATTTTTATATCAGTTGTGTTGCCTTTTTCTGTAGATATGCCGAAATAAGAGAAAAGTTGTCAGAGCATGGTACGAGGATAATTTGATTGTGATGAAAACAACACATGAGAAGCCAACTGTAACCTCTCCGGAAGGATGGTAACAATTCCTCGTGCAGCACAACCTACTGGGACCTTTCTCTTCTCTTGGGACGCGTCCGGGACTGCTTTCATTGCTGCAAGAGTGTAGCTTGGTCCAGTCCCCACAGTGGGGAGGTCTAGGGTGGGAAGGCCACAATAGAAAACCATTCCGGTCGACAAACAAAAACTGTGAAAGATGTAAGACTGAACGCTAACAATTCTGGGTTCTTGTCCGAAGAGTCGGCCACGGGTCGATGCCGTGAGTTACGCAGACAGTGCCCCTGCCTGCACTGCGAGCCGGAATTGCTCCTCGACGCGACAGATGCAGGCCGTCAGTCCCGGAGGCGAGACTCCTGTCTGAAGCGAGAATGCACCAAATCGACCGGCAGGACTGCAGAAGTGGGGCACACACGGATATCTAAGTTCTGCACGCTTGAAAAGTTGGTAAGCGTTTTGAGCACATGCAAGGTACAAGATGTTGGTTTGTCAT